CCCTGCCTGGCTCCCGACTCTCACCCCAGTGCCTTCCCTGTCCGGCTCCCGACTCTCACCCCAGTGCCTTCCCTGTCCGGCTCCTGACTCTCACGCCAGTGCCCTCCCTGTCCGGCTCCCAACTCGATCCGCAACTCCCAGCTCCTGACCCCCCACCCCATGCCCTCCCTGCCCAGCTCCTGACCCCCACCCCCGTGCCCTCCCTGCCTGGCTCCCGACTCTCACCCCCGTGCCCTCCCTGCCTGGCTCCCGACTCTCACCCCAGTGCCCTCCCTGCCCGACTCCAGACTCTCACACCAGTGCCCTCCCTGTCCGGCTCCCAACTCGATCCGCAACTCCCAGCTCCTGACCCCCCACCCCATGCCCTCCCTGCCCAGCTCCTGACCCCCACCCCAGTGCCCTCCCTGCCCAGCTCCTGATCCCCACCCCCGTGCCCTCCCTACCCGGCTCCCGACTCGATTCACAACTCCCAGCTCCTGACCCCCTACCCCTGTGCCCTCCCTGCCCAGCTCCTGATCCCCACCCCCATGCCCTTCCTGCCCAGCTCCCGACTCGATTCACGACTCCCAGCTCCTGACCCCCCATGCCAGTGCCCTCCCTGCCCGGCTCCTGACGCTCACCCCTGTGCCCTCCCTGCCTGGCTCCCGACTCGATTCGCGACTCCCAGCTTCTGACCCCCCACGCCAGTGCCCTCCCTGCCTGGCTTCTGATCCCCGACCCCAATGCCTCCCGGCCTGACTCCTACCCTAGTGCCCCACCCTGGCCCTCACCTTGGAACTCTCTTAGTCCTCGCTGCAGAGACAGCACTTTTTCTGAGAATTCTCCTGTCTTTTTTTTTACCACTCGAGCAATGGGTTTCCCAATCCAGAACTTCTTCCGCGGATACCTAGGGAAATGACACAGGGACGCTGTTACTTAGGTCCCCCTGCATTTCTTTCAATTCTCACAACAATTATGAAGCGGGAAGGACAGGTATGACCATCCCCACTCAAATGACAGAAAACCAGGGGCTCAGAGGCAGAGGGGACTGCCTGCAGCTGAACCAGGACTTGAGACCACCTACAGACTGGACATCCGTGCTGCTGTGCACTGGGCCCCTGGTCACCTGTCCTGTCTCCACCCAGCACAGCTGGGGCCACGCAGAACCCGCAAGCCTGCACTTCTCAAGGATGTGCTCTTGCTCCCCAGCAGGGAAGGTGGTGGGAAGAGCCACAGGACACAGACACCGTCAATTCAAACAGGTCAGGTTAGTAGAAGGGCAGGGGGGACACAGGGAGCTCTCTTACCTGTTCAAGAAGTCCCTGCTGTCCTGGAAGGAGAAAGCACAGCATCAGTGGGGTTTGATCAGACCCCACTCACAGGTCACAGGTCACAGGTCTGTTAGGAGCCAGGGCACCCATGCACAGTCCCTTCCCCATGGCTCTGGCACCCAGTGGCATGGCTGGGTCAAGAGGTTGTGGCTCATGATGTGTGTGGTGCCTCCTCCCCTTCTTCCTTTATTTTTGTTTTGTTTTTTTAGTTTTTAAAAAATGTTTATTTATTTTTGAGAGAGAGCACGAGCAGGGGAGGGGCAGAGAGAGAGGGAGACACAGAATCCAAAGCAGGCTCCAGGCTCTGAGCAGTCAGCACAGAGCCCGATGCGGGGCTCGAACTCATGGACCTCGAGATCATGACCTGAGCTGAAGTTGGACATTTAACCGACTGAGCCACCCAGGCACCCCCTGCCCCTATTTCCTTTGAAGAGCAGAAGCCCTGGGATCACAGTGGGCAGACTGCCACCCAGCAGAAGACTACACTTCCCAGATGACTTTGTGGTCAGGCCTGGTCACATGACTGAGTGCAGCCAATGGGATGTGAAAGGAAGCAGAGAGGAAATTTTGGGGTGCTGTCCTAGCTGAGACCCACACCCCTTGAAGCAGGTGGAACCAGCAGGTAGAGGCACCCAGCCTCCAGGATAACCTCACGGTTGGCCGCCCGGTTCCTGGAAGAAGGGAAAGTGTTCTCTCTGAGCCAGGGTACTGGGTTTGATACTGCAGCTGCCCTAATGCCCCAGTCCTGCAGACTGGGGCAGAAGGGGCAACGGGGACACAGATGGGTACACAGACAGGACACTGATGGCAGGCAGGGGAGGCCAGGCCCCGTCCTTGAAGCGCTTGTCTAGAGACTAGCTGTGAGTGTCCAGTAAATCCTTCTAATCTGCCCCCCCCACCACGTACACCATGGCCAGCTCGGAGAGGCCACGAATGCACCCGCGTGGCCAGCAGGTGTGCCAGCATGTGGGCACAGGGCCGCGGGTCCAGATTCATGGGGCAGAATCCCCAGCAGCACAGAGGCCGGCCAAGGCTATCTCTTCATACACCTGGAGGGCTTGCCTTGCTGTCTCTCCCTGAGGCTGCTGGCCCGGAACAGACAGCATTTTCCTGGAGACCCTGGGGGCTCCACTGCAGACACACAGGCCCAACTGCACACCAGCAAGTGAGACCATCCCAGGCCACCTCCTGACTCGGGGAGGGGGAGGAAGATCAAGCACACCCTTCCAGAGGCCGCTGAACCCTGGTCAACGGGTGGGACTCCTCAAAGAGGCTCTGAGCCCTGATCAGGGAGGCGGGACACCTCAGAGAGGCACTGAGCCCTGATCAGGGAGGGGGCACTCCTCGGAGAGGCTGTGAGCCCTGATCAGGGAGGCGGGACTCCTCAGAGACGCACTGAGCCCTGATCAGGGAGGCGGGACTCCTCAAAGAGGCACTGAGCCCTGATCAGGGAGGGGGCACTCCTCAGAGAGGCACTGAGCCCTGATCGGGGAAGCGGGACTCTTCAGAGAGGCACTGAGCCCTGATCAGGGAGGCGGGACACC